TGAGCGGCGGGATCAATTATGTTTTAATCGGCATTCTAAACAAGTACCTCCATGGGGAAAACGAAAGTAGGTGCTGACGATTAAGGACTTCCGATGCTTTTCAACAATTTGCTGCACGTTTCAATTTTTCCTAACCATTAGACATTTCTTACACATTTTTATACATTTTCGAAAAATTCGCTATTTTCAAAATATAGGTATAGGTAGAGATGAGGGTAGAGAGGTAGAAAAAAGGTTCAAAGATATTAAAGTTAACTATCATTGAGGGTTTTAGGGACGACCTACATCAAATTTATATCGGCGTGCAAGCTAACCACCAAAGGAATACCCCGCCCCTTTTGTCCCGCAGTGTTGCGGCTTTTCTCAGTTACTTGATTCTCTTTAGTTCATTTAGTTCTCAAAAAAAAAACCTGCCAAGTCTCGGTACATATATAATTACTCTATTAATGCCTGAAGGGTCTCGCTCTACTCGTAATCTGCTTCTATACCAGGCACGGTCCTTAATTGGCCAACCCCTTTAGAAGGAAATGGGAAGTCTCCAACAACATTCGCATTTCAAACTCGATAACTTAACTGATGTTCACAAATTACTTACATGTAATTGCACCCTGAATAAAACGCTAAAGAGTTACGGAGGTTGTCCCATATGGGGGTCGATCCTCGGATGTTAAATCTCCTTCATGACCTTGTGACCTATTTCGCAGCAATATGGCCGCTTGCTATCCGTAGATGTGGAAGTAAGCCAAGGGCGGCGGCACCCGCAGGTCGAACAAGAATTAGTGGGCAACGAAAAACGTGTATGGAACTTGGACCCTAAAAGAAATCAAAGCTAGCCCCTCTTCTTTCGTCGTAGATGAAGCAGCATTTGTCGATGGAAATTACAGGCCAAACCTAAACGAAATGTAACATGGCTAACCTCACTGGGAGCACAGGTGCATCCCGTCCAAACTAATTACTTCGGAAATTCTCAAATTATGAATCCAATCACCAGAGATCGGAAGATGGCAATTAGAATTCCATGCGTTCTACCTCGCTTTCATCCTCGCTTTGATATGGTTTGTTTAAACGAAGTGGACTTCGATGCGGTTTACTAAGGAAAAGAAATGGCAATAGACACCCCAAAAATCAAGGCGCTGGCAATCTGCGCGGATAAATTCCATCAGTAGGTGGAGCCATCTATAAAATCGCTTCAATGTGTTAGGGGGGTTTTTTCGACAAGTAATATACAACTGAATGTTAAATCACTGTATTCTTGTGTGCTCTTCTCTTTCTCGAGTGGTAATTATTGCGCTGCAAAACTCTTCCACCCAATTTCAATTGGTATTCTTCTTACACATTATCCTAATTGTGTAGATTAGGCTTAATGTATCCCCTAGCTTCGAAGCCTCTCGTTCTCTGTATCATCTGGAGCACACGAATACTGCGTGTGCCTTGTCGCCTTCAAACTCGCAGTCGACACACTCTTGCGTGGCACCTCACATAAAATCCGCTTGTTTCTGCCTTCATCGAGTAGATGCTTGTGAGGCTTTCCTAGCACTTTGTGCTGCTCATCTAGCGCCAACGCACTTTTTACGCTTTTATTTAGAAACTGGCTAGGTACCCTAATAGATCGTTGTTATGTTAGTGTGACTCTTCCTTCTAGGTTATTTGGACTCTTGTTTGCTGGCCCTCCTACTTTGTTCCGCCTATCTTGAATTTGGGGTACGACATAGTCACGGGAGAGTGGCCTTCTATCTCACACATATATAGCATTTTTTTGTTATTTTGACATTTATCCCTTAGGTGCCCTACTTTTCCGCAGTTGAAGCAGTTTTTCCCGAGCTTCTCTACATCTATGGCCCTCCTCACGAATCTCCCAGGACTTATGCACTTGATTACTTCTACCCTCTGCCCACCCTGCATGCTGCTACTCCCGTTCAAATACGTAGAAGTGTGTCTAATTTTGTCCTCCGCCGCCTTCAGCCTGCCCAGTTCCCTCCAAGATTCCAAGCACAGGATTCTCCACATCTTTGTCTTGCATGAGCTGGTCTATCTCCTCGAATGGTCAGTTTAGCCTCCGCCAATTTCCTGCTAATCGTTTCCCTTGTCTCAGTTACGTCATTGAGTGTAATCTTTAGGTGACCATCTTTGGTTTTCTGAATAGCTTTGACTGATTGTACAGGGTGTCAACGATTGCGCGGAGTAACTTAATGCCTTGAAGATAAGATTTTTCGATGGAGTGCTTTTGTATTATGATATGGTTGAATATTCTCCACATTTTAAAAATATTTGGAATTATACAGGGTCCGCCCACAAAGTTGGGCGCCAAAGTGGTATATTTTTTTAAATAGAACCCCCTGTATTTGAATGCATTTTTGAATTCTACGTGTAACTGTACGTCTTTTTTATTATATTTTTAATATCCGAAAAACTAGTAGTTTTATCGAGAGTTTTATAGATTATTCGATTTGTAAGAAAAATTGGGCATTTACAAGCTCGTTTGCAAGCGTCAGTATATTGTCAAAATTATTACTTAAATTTTGATTCTAGGTTTTATGTCTTTTATCCTGGGTGAAGTAAACGTGAAATAAATACAGGGTGGCCAAATAAGAATGCGAGGTACTGTATCTGGGAACCTGTCCATCGTAGAGGTTTGCGGTAAAAAATTACTATTACTAAAACGACCACGAGAAAAACCTGGAAAATATGTTTAAGTTTCTGAAATGGCCGCTAGGGGGCGTAACTGCAATCTGGAGTCTAAAAAAGTGATTTTTCTGTTAATTCCGCTATATTAACCTAACAAAAAAATGTCCGGTCTTTGAAGACGACGATAATCTGAACCTTTTTTGTTTGACAATTTTTGCTGTATCTCTAAAAATAAAGCGGTGGGGGGTATTCAAAGGTTTCCGTAAAGAACACCCTGTATCTTCGAAATGACTGAACCGATTTTAACAAACTCGGGTTAATTGAAAAGAGTTATTATTCGGCTACAAATATTATAATATTTGAAGTTTTGTTAGTTTCACATATCGCCGCTTGAGGGCTTTTTTCTCGGCTTTTTTCGACATTCCGACAGAAATGGTTAATTTTCTCAAAAAAACTAAATGCGTTGGTTTGATTTTTTTTCATGAAAAAGTAGCTAAATGATGCCTAAACAAGCTCACGAAAATCGCATATCGATATCTTGTTCCTAATCCAAAATTCAGGTCAAAGAAAATTTTATACCCTCAAAATTTTATTTTTTAAGCTAATTTTTCCGGAATTATTTTTATTATATAATTTGTGGCCCTAAGGTGGATCGATTTAAACAAGGCTTTTAAGGCCGCCGTAAATACTCGAAATGATGGCCATCACCATATAAAAATCGAGATAAAAATATATGTATACAGGGTCATTCTTGACGAGCGTCAGTTAGAAAGATATGGAAAACCTTTGAAAATTAAGCTAAACTGATAAGTCCTTTAAGGGTTTTGGCACATGCTGAATTGAACTAAAATATTTTCAAAATGGCGCCACTTCCGGAAATACCGGAAGTGGCCATCAACTTTGTTATTTTAAATAGGGACCCCCTATTTTTTCTACATTTTCGGATTCTATGTCGAATTTGGAGTACAACGATACCCCATAGTTGACCCTTTGCTCCAAGGGCTTCGCCGATATTCAAGTTTTTGTGTCAAAAATTGAATTTGCAGAGGTAATTTTAACAAGTTAAAAAGTAATCGTAAACGATTTACATAAAGCGCATTTCCACTTGCATTCATTTCCCATTTGTAAGATGCAACTTCTGTTAAAATCGTAAAAATCCGCCCACAAATATGAAAGATAGCGTTGCACATGGGCAATCCATTGTTGACGTGCTACTTCAATTTCAGTTTATGCGAAGAATTTTATTTCAATGCTTTTCTAAATAAGAAAGTTGGAACTGCGCATGCACAAACCTAAATTTTAAAACTAATGTTAGATTTTCCTTTGTTCCAAGAGCCTAAGTATCAAATTTCACTTAAATAGTTCCATAGATAAAAAAGTTGGCACTGCGCATGCGCAAAACCAAATTTTGAAACTGGCGATAGATTTTCCTTTATTCCAAGTGCCTATGTATCACATTTCATTTAAATTCTTCCATAAATAAAAAAGTTGGCACTGCGCATGCGCAAAACTAAATTTTGAAATTGGCGTTTGATTTTCCTTTAGCCCAAGTGCCTATGTATCAAATTTCGTTTAAATTCTTCCATAAATAAAAAAGTTGGCACTGCGCATGCGCAAAACCAAATTTTGAAATTGGCGTTTGATTTTCCTTTATTCGAAGTGCCTATGTATCAAATTTCATTTAAATTCTTCCATAAATAAAAAAGTTGGCACTGCGCATGCGCAAAACTAAATTTTGAAATTGGCGTTTGATTTTCCTTTATCCCAAGTGCCTATGTATCAAATTTCGTTTAAATTCTTCAATAAATAAAAAAGTTGGCACTGCGCATGCGCAAAACCAAATTTTGAAATTGGCGTTTGATTTTCCTTTATTCCAAGTACCTATGTATCAAATTTCATTCAAAAACTTTTATAAGTAAAAAAGTTTGCAATTCGGCTTATAAATGGTCGAGATGCGAAAAGGGCACTGTGAATTTTGAATCGATTCGATTCA